TATGCATTGCTTCTTTGTCTGCTTCTATCCTTCTAGTTTGGCAATTTTCTGAACCAAGATGGAAACATTGAGTGTACTCATAAATGATGACTCTTTCCTCCCACTTCCCAACCTGGTTACATCTTTTACCATTGGCCTTGTCCAAATTACCACCAGAGCAGGATAGCCTGTATCACACAGTCTCACGTCTGTCTAAGTCTTATTCCTTTTTCACCTTCTGTAAGCACACCTCTCCTTATGAATTCACTACTGCCCACCTCAAATTCTTCTCTCATATCTTCACTCTGTTCTACCCTCACTTACTGCATTTCTATCCTCAGCTATTGCATTTACCAATACCTTATACTGAATTGTTGTCCATTTCAACTCAGCTTGTACTTGCAATTCACTTACTTCTCTTAAACTCCTACAGTATAATATCTTCTATTAATTCAACCCTGGATTTTACTTTCTCACTCTCATCATAAACTACACACCAGTGACCATTGCCAAAGCCTCAACATGCCAAAACAAAGAACTGCAGATGCTGGAAATCTGAAATGAAAACAGAAATTCTGGAGAAGCTCAGCATGTTTGGCAGCATCTGTGGAGAGACAGCAGAGTCAAAGTTTTGGGTCCAGCTGCTTTCTCTCCACAGATAGTGCCAGACCTGCTCATTTACTCTAGCAATTTCTGTTACTGCCCTAAATTCCAATTTCCTTTCCTGATGTTCCCACTTCTGTACCTTACCTTTCTCCTTTAAAAAACGTTCCTTAAAACTGCCTGTATGGCCAATTGTTGATCATCTGCCTTAACATCTCATTTAAATCTACAGCTGCTAATTTGTTCGCTCAACCCAGAGCACAATAAAACCGTTACTGTCTCTCACCCCAACTATTATCTGGTATATCCTCATCTTCATTCACTCAAATTCAAGGCAACACACTTGAAAGGATATGGCAGACAGCACACTATCAGGTCATGTTCTTCTTTGCTCAAAGTGCTCATTATTCCAGGATCAACTTTGAATGAAAAAATAATCTTTAGCTTCTTTACTCAAACATATAAATTAGGAGTAGCAGTAGGCCCATCAGCCCCTCAAACTGGCAGAACCAGAGTTCCAAAGATTGTCAATCCTCTAAATAGATTTGCCTCATCTTAGACTTAAACAGACGACTCATGATGTTTAAACAGCGACCTTTGGATTCTGAGTTCTCCCACAAGAGGAAACACCCTTTCCACAAACATCCTGCTTTGTCATTCAAATGCAAGCCAATGTTTGTTCCCTTCTCTCAGTCATCAGCAGCAGCCGTTTTACTATCTCCTGCCTTTTCTCCTTCGTATGTCTTTGTTGTTCAATTGCCCCATAACAAGTGGGAAGCCTTCAAAACTGTCATAATGAGAGTTCACAGGCATTATGTTCATGTTGGAGTTAAAGGCAAGGCTGGTAAGATTAGAGAACAATGGATGAACAAAGGTATTGAGGTTCTAGTCAAGAATAAAAAAAGAATCATATATTAAATATAGACAACTGGGAACAACTGAATTTTTTTAAGAGTATAAAGACTGTAGGGGCATTCTTAAGAAGGCAGAGAGGATATATGAGATCGCCTTGGCAGATAAGGTTGAAGATAATCCAAAAGGATTCCATAAACACACAACAAACAACCAGAGGGAGAGTAGGATCCCTAAATGATCAACAAGATCATCTTTGTGTTCAACCACAGGAGATGGGACAAATATTAAATGAATATTTTGTATCAATTTTTACTGTCAAGAAAGAAATAGAGGCTAGAAAACTCTGAGAAATATTGATGTTTTGAAAACAGTTCACATTTCAGAAGAGGAAGTGCTGGTAGTCTTAAACAATAACATAAAGGTAAATAAATTTCTAGGACCTGATCAAGTGTATCCCAGGCTGTTGTGGGAAGGTGGGGAAGAAATTGCAGGGCCCAGACCAGAAATATTTGTATCATCTGTAAACATGGAGGAAATACCGGTGGACAGGAGGATAGCTAATGCTGTGCCATTGTTTAAGAATGGATGTAAGGAGAAGCCTGGAAACTACAGACCTGAGTCTGACATTGGTGGTGAGTAGGTTGTTGGAGGTGATTTTGAAAGATAGGATTTGCATGCATTTGGAGAGGCAAGGATTGATTATGGATAGTCAGAATGGCTTTGTGAATGGGAAATCATGTCATAAACTTGATTGAGTTTTTTAATCAAGTAACTAAAAAAATTGATGACGGCAGAGTGGTAAACATTGTTTACTTGAACTTTAGTAAAGCCTTTGACAAGGTTTTGCATGGTGGACTAATTAGTAAAATGAGATCACATGGGATTCAGGGTGAGCTTGCTGATTAGATACAAAATTGGCTTCATTGGTAGGAGACAGATAGTGGTAGTGCAGAGTTGTATTTTGAACTGGAGGCTTGTGACCAGCAGTGTTCCACAGGGATTGGTATTGGGTCCACTTTTGTTTGTCATTTATATAAATAATTTGGATAAGAATTATAGGAGGTATGGTTAGTATGCTTGCAGGTGACACCAAAATTGGTGGTTTAATGGACAGTGAAGATGGCTACCTAAGATTACCAAGAGATCTGGGTGGGTTTCCTCTGGGTGCTCCGGTTTCCACCCACAGTCCAAAGATATGCAGGTTAGATCGATTGGCCATGCTAAATTGCCTGTAGTGTCCAGGGGTTAATAGATCAGGCATGGGAAATGCAGCGTTACAGCAGAAATGTAGGGAGTGGGTCTGGGGCAGGATGATCTTTAGAGGATGGTGTGGACTTGTCGGGCTGATTGACCTGTTTCCAACACTGTAGGGGTTCTATGATTCCATGACCTGGATCAATTGCATCAATGGGCTGTCGAGTAGAAGATGGAGATTAATTTGGATAAATGTGAGGTATTGCCCATTGGTAAATCAAACAAGGACAGGTCTTATACAATAAACGGTACGGCCCTGCGTAGTGTTGTAGAACAGAGGTACCTCGGGGTTCAACTACATAGTTCTTTGAAATTTGCATCACAGGTAGGCAGAGTGTTCAAGAAGTCATTTAACATGCTTGTTCTCATATACTCAAAAGGTCTGAGTAAAGAATTGGGATGTCATGTTGAGGTTGTACGGAATGTTGGTGAGGCCTCTTCTGGAGTCGAGTGTGCAGTTCTGGTCATGCTGTTATAGGGAGTGTATTATTGAATTGGAGGGTTCAGAAAAAAATTATTAGGATGTTGCTTAGAACGGAGGATTTGAGCTATAAGAATAGACTGGAAAGGCTAGGACATATTTCACTGGTGTATAGGAGGTTGAGGGGTTACTTCACTGGGGTTTATAAAATAATGAGTAGCATAGATATGGTGAATGACAAGGGTCTTTTCCCTAAGAGGGGGAGTTCAAAACTAGGGGGCATATTTTTAAGGTGACAGGAGAAAACTTTAAAAAAACATGAGGGACAACTTTTTATACAGAGTAGATCATTTATGGAATGAACTGCCAGAGGAAGTGATGGATATAGGTACAGTTACAACGTTAAAAAGACATTTGGTTAAGTTCATGAATAGGAAAGGTTTGGAGTGATATGGGCCAGGGGCAGGCAGGTGTGACTAGTTTAATTTGGGAACATGGTCAGCATGGACTTCTTGGACCGAAAGTTCTCTTTCCATGCTGTATCACTCTATGTTCCTTACCTGGTTAAAGGTTGCTGACCTGCAACGTCTTCCACTACTGTCAATGAGTCTGTTGAGTGTGTTCTGCATGAGGTTTTGGTTTGGTATCTGTGGAAGGGCAGCTTGAAACCAGGAGGATTGGGCTCCAATCTTTCAGCAGCTGTCGCCTGACCTCAGCTGTCAATCAAATTGACCATGTGACCTACGCCAGTTTGGTACAGGAGCAAAGTCTCCGGCTGCTGCAGGATGTCACTCAGTATCCTGAGCCATGTGATTTTCGACCTTGCAGCAACTTGAACCAACCTCTGAGCATCAATATTGACGGCGGTTGAGGAAGTTTTCCACCGCCCCTCAGCCTGCTTCCGCCGTTCTCCCATTGTTGGGCTGTCGAGGGGCTCGCACAAACAATAGAGATGTTTCCGAGCCGCCTGGCACTGTAGGTAGGAAGAGCCGCCATTAAGCTCGTATCAAAGCATTTTCACAGCTTTCTGAGAATATAAACACAAAATACCAATGAAATAAGTTGTGATGTGACTTGCGGCCCTGGCAAAGACTCGCATCTGCTGCCACACATGCGCACATGATGATGTAATTCCCACTTTGTGCCTTTCCAGTTGGCTGGTTGGCGCGCATGTGCAGAACTGGGACCCGGTGAGGCAACCATTGTTGATGTTTTGCTGAATGTGACAGTCACTGATTTACGCAGACTCCAGTCCACTGCTCCAACTGATATGCAGAACTGAAGATTTTGTTTTGTTTACGTTGACAGTATTGATTGACCAGAAAATCTGTGGTGTCCCTGACTCTGGACAGCTCTTTAGTGAAGTTGTCTCCTGGTGTAAACAGAGATGTCTTCAGTGACCACATCAACTTGGACGTGCAATGTCGTCAGATCTGGATTTTTCTATGTCCTATATTCCAAGAGAATGACTAATAAGCTTCTTCTCTTAGTGGCATTCTGTTTCCAATTAGACGGAACAGTTTAATCAATCCATGTACATAAAAGCATAAGAAATAGGAGCTGGCTATCGCATGGCTGATCTTTTTATGGACTCAGCTCCAGTTACTCACCTGCTCACCATAACCCTTTACTGTTCAATTATCTAACTTTGCCTTAAAAATATTGAACAAGTAGTGTCAACAGCTCCACAGGACAGGGAATTCCACAGATTCACAAGCCTTTGTGTGAAGAGGTTCGTCCTCAACTCAGTCCTAAACCTGCTCCCCCTTATTTTGAGGCTATGTTCCTAGTTTTAGTTTCACTGCCCAGTGGAAACAACCTCCATGCTTTGTCTTAAACCTGGCCAGAAAACAATGAATACTGGGGATGTGGAAATGAGTGTTGAACAATGGAAGACACAAACAACATGCCAATAATTGATAACAAGGAGGCTATGGCAGATGAGAATCTAGAAACAATCATTTTCATGAAAGAGGTAATATTGGGCAAGCTAATGGGGCTAAATGCAGACAATCCTCCTGGCCCTGATGGGATGTATCCCAGGGCCCTGAAAGAAATGGCGGGGGAAATAACAAATGCACCCATGGTAATTTACTCGCTGGACTCTGGGGCATTTCTGGAAGATTGGAAAATAGCAAATGTGACACCACTCTTTAAAAAAGGAGGTAGTCAAAAGGTGGGTAACTATAGGCCTGTTAGCTTAACTTCGGTAATGGGGAAAATGTTTGAATATATAATGAAGGAAGAAATAGCAAGACATCTGGATACAAATTGTCCTATCGGGCAGATGCAGCATGGGTTTATGAAAGGCAGGTAAGGTTTAACTAATTTACTGGAATTGTTTGAGGACATTACGAATGTAGTGGACAACAGGGAACTGGTGGATGTGGTGTATCTGGATTTCCAGAAGACATTCAACATTGTGCTGCACAAAAGGCTGCTGCATAATGTAAAGGTGCATGACGTTAAGGGTAATGTATTAGCATGGATAGAAGATTGGTTAACTAACAGAAAGCAAATAGTGAGGATAAATGGGTGTTTTTCTGGTTGGCGATCAGTGGCTGGTGGTGTGCCTTAGGGATCAGTGTTGGGACTGCAATTGTTTACAGTTTACATAGATGATTTAGAATTGGCGACAAAGTGCAGTGTGTCAAAGTTCGCAGAAGACAATGAAATGAGTAGTAGAGCAAAGTGTGGAGAGAACATTGTCAGTCTGCAGAGGGACATAAACAGGTTAAGTGAGTGAGCAAGGGTCTGGCAGGTGGAGTAAAATGCTGGTAAATGTGAGATCCTCCATTTTGATAGGAATAACAGCAAAATGGGCTATTATTTAAATGGTGAAAAGTGCATCATGCTGCTGTGCCGAGGGACCTGAGTGTCTTTGTGCATGAATCACAAAAGGTTGGTTTGCAGATGTAGCGGGGAATTAAAAAGGCAAATGGAATATTGTCCTTCATTGCTAGAGGGATGGAGTTTAAAAATACGGAGGTTATGCTGCACTCGTAAAGGGTGCTGGTGAGACTACAACTGGAGTACTGTGTACAGTTTTGGTCTCCTTACTTGACAAAGGACATTGGTACTGGAGGGTGTGCAGAGGAGTTTCACTCGGTTGGTTTATGAGGTGAGATTGAGTAGACTGGGACTATACTTATTGGAATTTAGAAGAGTAAGAGGAGAATGTTATGAAGACATATACAATTATGAATGGAGTTCTTGCTCCAGTCCAGACACCATCCCACCACTCCATCAGCACCTGTCACCTCTTCCCACACCATCTTAAACGATTCTTCCCTGGTATTGGTCATGCACCTGATGTACGTGGCACGCTACCTACCTTGTACCCTGTCTGGCACCCTACCCCCTACATACCTGGAAATTTACCTACCTGGCACCCTATCCTGTACACATCTTGCACTCTACCCACTTGGCACTTTACCCTATACCTACCTAGCACTCACCTACCTTGAAACTAACCCATACTCACCTACTATGCTCTTTTCCTGGCCCCCTAACTCTAACACCACCCCACCCCCACCCCAGACTCTTTAACTATCAGGCATCCTGCCCTGTATGCACCTTGCATCCTACTTCCTTGGCTCCCTACTCCCATACCTACCTTTATCCACATAGAAACTCCAGTTCTCCAGTTTGGATCTGTGATGGCTTTGTATTCCATCTTGGTTTGGTCAGAAACACTGTCCAGTATATACGTTGTTATTTTTTGTTAGAATATTATATAGATGGTAATAAACTTCTTGCATCAGTGATTTTTTCATTTACCCCACTCAAAACTGTCAAACACAAATTGCTTTTTCCAGTTTTCCTTCACAATAGAATCTGTTCCCTTTAAGGGTGGCACGGTAGCTCAGTGGTTAGCACTGCTGCCTCACAGTACCAGGAACCTGGGTTCGATTCCACCCTCGGGTGACTCTTTGTGAGGAGTTTGCACGTTGAGTGGGTTTCCTCTGGGTGCTCTGGTTTCCTCCCACAGTCCAAAGATGTGCAGGCTAGGTGGATTGGTCATACTTTAAAAAAATGCCCATAGTGTTCAGGGATGTGTAGATTAGGTTGGTTTTCAGGCGTTGGGTCTGAATAGACTGCTCTGAGAGTCGGTGTGGACTTGTTGGGCCAAAGGGCCTGTTTCCACACTGTAGGGATTCTATGAACATCAAGCCATACTCTGAAGGAACAACTATACGAACTATAACAAATACTCAGTTTGATAGCTATGGCCAAAACATGCTTCAGTATACCAGTTTGTTATGATGTATTTTGTTTAACAGTGATGGACAACTAACTATGGGGAACTTTAAATATCTACAATTATTCATGGCAATTTCACCACCATCTTTTGATTGCATGATAAACTAACAGCACAAATTGTAGTTTCTCAGATTAATGTTGCAATTGATTGAATAAGGGTGGAACGTACCATTGCCTTGGGCTGAGAGTCACTTAGCTGAGTTGGCTGGAGGGCTGGTTTTCAATGCAGTGTAATGTCAATAACATTGGTTCAATTCCCAGACCAATCAGTCCTCTGGTGCCAGCCGTATATTTAAGGAAGATTGGGAATGTTTGGCCATTTACTCAGCAGTCACCATCCTTATTTCTCTGACAAAGCTGGATCCATTTGAACTGATCCTGGTGATTAACAAACTTGAAGTAAACCAGCATATCTGACAGCAGTTCTTTATCAGTGCTTTTCACTTATCGTTGTGAATTAGTAAACCTTCCTCACTTATTCACTCTATTCGCTATAACAGAGCTAAGAAACCACACATGTTATTAACAAATTTCTCAATTTGATTCCCATCTTCAAAATATATTTTATATTTGTGTTCAGTTCTCACTTTCAGGGGCTTTTTTTTAATTATTCATTCACAGGATGAAGGCATCGCTGGCCAGACAGCATTTATTGCCCATCCCTAAATGCTCAGAGTCAACCACATGGCTGTGGGTCTGGAGTCACACGTAGACCAGACCAGGTAAGGATGGCAGTTTCATTCCCTAAAGGGCCTTAGTGAACCAGATGGGTTTTTCCTGACAATCAACAATGGATTCATGGTCATCATTAGACTCTATATTCTAGATATTTATCAAATTCAAGTTCTACATCTGCTGTGGCGGGATTCGAACCCGGGTCCCTAGAACATTATCTGGGTCTCTGGATTATTAGTCCAGAGATAATACCACTACGCCATCACCTCCCTGTTGCTTCCAATTAACTGATCCTATATTTTCCACCTTAGACCATTTGAATTGAATTTTTTCAGAGAGAACATTGGTCTCAACCCAGCCTGAAATTAAAACAATCATACAGCAGTACATTCATCTTTCTCTATGCCCACACAGCCATTGATACAGTGCTCTCATGAATGTTAGATTAACTGGTAAATAGTTTTGTAATACAACAAGTTGTACACAGGCAGTAATTGAATCAATAACATTCCAATAATTATATTTTGTGATAAGCACAATGTTAACTTAGTTAAAACTAAACAATCCCATTTTATAGTCTTAAATATCTCATGATGGTCATCAACTAACTGAGGGCCTATGACAAATTTTGTGCTCGAAAGAAGCAAGTAATTTCACGTGAAAACATGAAAAGACGCAGTTTTATATTCTAAGACAGTTTTGAGCACAATTTGCACTGAGTTGTACATTACAATCAAAGCAGAAACATTTGTCTAATTGCACAATACTGAACAGATATTAGTAACTTACTTGGCTCTCCAACAGCCCCAAGTACTTGGCAATACATGAATTTAACATCAGCGAGTGCTGTAAGCAGATTGAAAGGATACTTCATACTCAAAGGAAAGTGATTAGTCCAAGCTTATTTAGAACTGTGATCATCATTTATACATAGAAAGCATGGCCTGCAGAGGTATAATTTAGTTGGATGATCATTGATATTAGCCACAGTTCTTTGAACATACATATCTGAGAGAGACGTACAGCATCAGAATAAACATCAATTCTGACAGAGAAAGCTTGAATGATGGAGAGAAATAAGGAGAACTTCAGGTTTGGGCACACTGAGGTCATGAGTAACAGATAGTGGCGGCAAGGGGCGGGGGAGGTGGAGGGAGGAGTTGAGAAAAATTGTAATTGTTTAACCACTACAACCGCAGCAGCACCTTAAATATCAAATGGTGCACTTATTTCTTATTGCCATTATCACCATTGCCAAAATTAACAAGTGAGCCAATCGAGAATAAGTGAACAATTGAACTCTTTCAAAAAAGAGACAGTAGCAGAACAAAGTGGATATATTCCAAGAAGCAGAAAACAGGGTAACTGAAATATGGAGTTCTTAGAATGAACAAACTTTTGGAGATTATCATGAAAATGACCTGATTCACATTAAGAAAAAATCAGTTCTAAACACATTGTAGAACCAAGTCTAACACAAGAAGTACAAAAGAATCATTAAACTGAAAACAAAAGAGACGAGTATAGATCAAGGAAATGATTGTAAGAACAGTTCGATTTAAGAGTTCAGGAGTAATAGAGTAACTGTTAGTTTGCAATTTTAATTACTTTATTGACCGGGCATTCAAGCCTTAGTGCAAATTCATCAGAATTTTCAAACAAACTTTGTTTGGTCCGTGGGCTTATAGACTGTATCTTACTGGTTTAGACAAACACTGGGAATGGTTTTAATTCCAGGATTTTGTCAGTCCAATTAACTTTCAGGCATTTAGTTGACCTCCCAAAGCAAGATGCTCTGGACCTACCACAAAAGTGGCTTACGATCAGATGCTGGAAATTTGAACGAAAAACAAGAACTACTCAAAATCACTCGCATCCAGTTATTATCTGTGGAGAGAGAACTAGTTAAAATTTCAGATTAACGACTTTTCAAAATGTTTCCAACATTTTCTCTTTTTATGAGCCCCGACCCTAATCATTTGGAAAGGTTCGACAGAATTTTTGAAGGTTTTCTAAGCCAACAGAGCCCTGGTAGAAGCTGTTAAATATTATCCTTTAACCAATATTGTTATCACTGTGACATAACTGGTCCTTTCCCTTTTTGATGAGAACAAGATATTGGGTTGAAGCAGAAGGCCGTCTGAATCA